CCTTTAAGAAGTAAGGGTTCTTCTTATTCCAGGCCCAGTGGCGCTGGGCCTAGTGTCTCTCCCCCAGATGTATAAATGCCTGTGTGTGCGCCGTTTTTGCCTTCAAGTTGTTTCTGACTTATGGCGACCCTCCCATGGGTTTTTCTGGGCCAGTTTCTTCAGAGTTTCTTCAGGGAGTTTGTTATTTCCAACACCTGAGGCTGAGAGAGTGTGGCTTGCCCAAGGTCTGCCAGTAGGGTTCTGCATCTGGATGGGGGATCCAAACCCTACAAATGCTATATAGGCATCTGAGGAAGTAGACTGAACGGAAAACTTCAGGCTGCCAACTTCTTTTTTTCATTCAAACAAAAATCCATCAGCAATACCTTTATTGGCCTACCAAAATGCAGAATATACTTGTTGCAAGCTTTTGAAGCTCCATGGGCTTCTTCATCAGGCAAGATGTTACAAAGCAAACGGGAGAGAAACAATTGGAGATTTTAGATGCCTACATGTTGTTTCAGTCTTTATTAAGATGGTCTATGTGGGGAGGATATCTTTTGCAGGCAGGATCCTCCTCCTCCTGTTTCTGTGGCTATAGGCAGATTTGCAAAGTCCAGGAAATTAAAAATGTATTTGCATCTCAACAGGGAGTCCTCTTTTGCAATCCAATATATCTCCATTCCAGTGAGGCCAAAGGCCTCTTTGTAGCAGAGAACAATGGATTCCTCAAGAATAGTCTCAAAAGTCCTACAAAATCTCTCTACACACTGATTTTTACAGACTAACACGGCTATATCTTTGAACCCTGTCCAATGCTCAAACCACTACACCAGACTGTCTCTAGAAGAGCTTTACTTCACACCACTTTCAACAACTTTTCAGCCTTATGTCACCATTATTAATATTATTATTATTATCTCACCTTCCTCTCGGTACAGGGACTCAAGGCAGCTAACAAAATTTAAAAGCGTCCAAGTTAAAAACAGTACAAAACAATAAAAATGCAAAGTTTTTAAAAAAACAATTCAACAATTTCAAAAAGTTAATGACATTACACATTCAACTTTAACATTTTAAAAACTCGTTCTAAAATTCTTACAGCACCTGTGTCAGTGTGAGAAAGACTGGTGGCATAAAAATGTTTTTGTCTGCTGCCAAAAGGAAAACAGGGATGGCACCATCCTGGCCGAGATCCAGAGCTTGGGAGCAACCACTGAGAAGACCCTCTCTCTTGTTCCCACCAAAAGGACCTCTCTAAACAATCTCAATACTCTGGGGGGCTCGTAAAGGGAGATAGGGTCCTTCAAATAGCCAGTAGTTCACTACAGATGAAAAATCATATTTTCCACATGCTTTCCAATGTATCATTGCAACTACAGTTTCTTTTATCGTGGCATTTCTTATCTTGTGGTTTTGTTTTTGCACTAGTTGCTTTCCATTTATTTTCACCATGGTTACCCAGTGGGTTTACAGGGCCTAGCCAGGATTCGAACACTGACCTCCCCCAGAGTTCTAAGCCAGTGCTCAAACCACTACTCCCACGTTGGCTCTTGTTGGACTTTGTTGTCCAAAAGCCTATCATGGGGATTTCCTGGCAAGATGAGCTCAGAAGTGGTTTGTCATTGCCTTCCTCTGAGGCTGAGAGCATGTGATGTGCCCAAGACCACCCAGTCTCGTAGAATTATACTTTCTCCTGATTCCTTGAGTAATGAAATTCATGGGTTCGCCCTAAGTTGTCAGGTGACTTGTATGCACAGACGCACAAGGGAAAAAACCCTCTTCATTCTTGCCTCCTCAGTGAGAAAAAGGAGGAGAGTGGAGCTGGTGGAGAGGATGTCCAAAGGTGAGCTCTTAAGTTGCCCCCTTGACCACCATGACACTAAAGATGAGCACCTTCCTTACAACAAAAGAGAGCCAGCGTAGGTTAGTGGTTTGAATGTTGGGCTGTGACTCTGGAGACTAGGGTTCGAATCCTGGCTCAGCCACCACAGGGTGACCATGGGCAAGTAACATTCTCTCAGGCAATGGCAAATCCCCTCTGAAGAAACTGGCCAAGAAAACCCCATGACAGGTTCTCCTTAGGGTCGCCATAAGTCCGAAACAATGTGAGGGCACACAAGAACAACCACAACAACCTTATCTTCTGTGAACTCATCAGTCAACTGAGGTGAATATTGTCTGTGGAGACTCCATTCAAAGTGGTCTGCCTCTTCTTATGTTTATCGGCTTTTCTGGGAGGAAGTAAGTGTGTGTGTGCAAGTCACTTTTAAGAGGACCCCATGAATTTCTTTAGACAAGGAATCCTAAGAGCTGGTTTTAGCAGTCCCTTCCTCTGAATTTAATATAGCCTACAAACATCTGGTATTCCTTGGCGGTCTCCCATCCAAGTACTAACCAAGACTGACCCTGCTTAGCTTCCTGATCTGACGCTTTTAGGGTTATTAGGCCCCTCCTCAGTGGTGTTTCTTACACAAGGTTTCAATGCCTGGAGCTTTCCCCGGGGCCCAAAATGCATTGTCAATGCTTCATTGACTCTATTTCCACTTTTATTGCACACCCAGTAAAGGCACAAGCGGCTCTAGCGGGGCTTTTTTTCTTTTTCTTTTTTTCTGGTTGTCAAAGCTGACAACTCATCTTCTTTTTAAAAAATGCTACCTTTAAAAAGGTTCCCAGAACTGTATCCTAAATGAGGGTGGGTTGAGTAGGAACTCAATATTGGCAGGTAAGTTGTTTCTGATTTTGTAGGGATAGGCAAATTACCCTTCCCATCCATTATCATTGAAACATCCTTAAATATGAAGGTGCTTACAAGCACAATGCATACTAACTACTAATTACAGAACTACATTTAATTACTACACTTTCATTTCTTTATTTGGACCCCTCCAACTCCAGAATCAGCCTTCAGAGGGGTTTTAAGTTTTGTCATGGGTTTTCCCCTCAACTCTGTGGACGTTATCACACTTGCAGTAAGAGAGTGGCGAGAAAGCTGGCCGGAATCATTTCGGAACCAT